TTTGTATGCTGGAAAGGACTGGCTAGTTTGTATAAACATGCATTCCAAAGTGTTGGAAGCCACATCTACAGCCTCTGAAGCAGTGTATTCCAGGAAAACATTTACTGTTAAACTCAAGGAATATATAGACTGGGTCACAGTTTTGCTATAATCTAATGCCAAAGGCTGCCAGGGAACATGTGGAGCTGTAGGGCCCATGAAAGGAGGAGGGGTACCACCCAAAGAACCTCGAGGTCTGGATTCTCAAATTACCAAACTGCATCACTGCATGTAAAAAGATCCACTTGCAAAATATGTCAATCATTCTTCAGAAAATGTCATTTATGTACAGATGGCATGGCCTTTTGCTCTTTTGCCATACTGTCATTTTGGCACACATTGCCAGAAACATTCAAACCTATGAGTCCACACATGAGTGCAACTTTTGAATTAAGTTGGTCATTACACATGTGCACTGCTTAGATGTTTCCCTTCCCCGTGTACTTGTGTAAATCAGAGCATGAGTTAGGATATCTTGATTATATATTCCGCCTTTTGAAATGCTTGTGTGATCTGCATCCAATTTGGCCAGACTTTAAAAAGAATCTGAAAAGGCACAGATATGCAGATAACTTAAGGTCTTGCCCATCTATTTCTAGGGCAACTGGCTTCACAGAGATTATTATATTTCATTTGTTTTGTGTTAGGTGAGACCCTGCTTTTGAGATGATCATTCAGTGAACGTACATTAACTTGAGCTACCTAATTACTCCAAGAGAAGGGAGAAAGTTCAGAGGACTGACTGTTTGATCGCTCGAAACTTTGTCAGAAGCAAGCCTGGTTTTATGACCATGTGCAATCAGTGGTGGATTCTCAGCAATTAGTGGTGACAAAACCACATCCCTAAAGTCTTTCAGCAGTAGGGGAAAGTGTGGGTGTACTTTGGAATGCCATGGTGGCATAGGAATCTCCTAAAGCACTAGGTATGAACTCTGAGATGTCTATCATAGGAATGATTCATTATGAAGACCATCTATTCAACTCTTTTATATCCACTGTTCAGATCCAAAATTAGTAGTCAGATATGTTGTGTACAAGGCTATGTATGTGTGTATGCATGCATACATGCATGCACACCTATTCCTTACCCATATATTTATGCGCTTTTTAAGTAAATGCATCTCCCTCTATGTACCATCGTGGAGATTAAGATCCTCCGGGGAGGCCCTGCTTTCCGTCCCGCCATTGTCACAGGCGATTGGTGGGGACGAGGGACAGGGCCTTCTCGGTGATTGCTCCCTGGCTATGGAACTCCCTTCCTTGTGAGATCAGGTTGGCCCCCTCTCTCCTGTTCTTTAGAAGGATGGTAAAAACTTGGCTGTGGGACCAAGCTTTCGGGACAGGACAATGAAGCGATAATGGGAAAGATGACAGGGCCAATTGGATTTGTTGCGGATGCGTGGCATCAATGCGTGGCAGGGGAAAGCTAGTATATATTCAAAATAATCCTGCCTGTTCAGAGCAATTAAAAGGCCGGGCCGAGGCTAGTGCAAACTCAAAATATGAGGGGATCGGGAATTAAGTACAGTGCTATAACAAGGCTAACAACTCTTTCTTCTTTTGAGGGGATCGGGAATTAAGTACAGTGCTATAACAGGCTAACAACAAAAGAAGCCTAATATATTGTCAAAGGCTTTTATGGCCAGAATCACGAGGTTGTTGTAGGTTTTTTCGGGCTGTATGGCCATGGTCTAGAGGCATTCTCTCCTAGGAGCGAATGCCTCTAGACCATGGCCATACAGCCTGAAAAAACCTACAACAACCAAGCCTAATATAGCCCAAGGGCTTTGCAATAAATGGAAGTATTCAATTGGGCATCTAAAATCCTTCAGACTACACTTAGGGCACCTTTCCCTATTTATTCTTTCATGTGGTCCCTCTTATTGTTTGTTTCATAAAGAGCGATTTAGAAAAGGAGGCAGCAAAAGTGGAAAGACAAGTCACCTCACACTCCCCTAATACTGCATGAAACTTTCTGAATCCCACAGTCAAGATTTGAAGCTTCAGGGGCCACTATTTGCAGGAAAAGGATGCCCTGTCCCCCTGCAAATAAGGGAGGAAAGGACACTAGTATTTAGTAACTGAACTTTGGATTGGATGTCACTTTGTTTTATCCAGCCGAGGCCATTATTTCCTCTGATACAACATTAATCATTTTCACAGTACAAGGAATGCCTTCTCTATAATGTCATTCCGCTGTGTGTATCTGTGGTCAGGATTTGGCATTAGGCCATGAACATCAAGGGGCATTTGGGACTAGGAGGAGATTTCTAGTCTCACATCAGCTTCTGACATTTATTAGGACATGAACTCAGAATCCTCTGAGAGTGAGAAAAGGCATCTTGTTGGCTTTTGGTGTTGCCACATAGACTCACACTATGTTATAGTTGTGACTTGGAAAGGATGCTTGAAAGTGCAAAAGTCTCTCTGGGTGGAGAAAAATAGTTTGAACAGCTGGTACTTACTGACTAAAACCACAGTAGGTCCTTGGGTAGAAAATAAAGAAACTCTATATTCCGTTTCCCTACTTTGAATTAACTGTGAGACTGTTAATAGATGGCTGTTGAAACAGTTGAATTTGCCAGCTATAACAGTATAATTTATCCCAACAGTTATGCTTTCCTGGTC